TATAATGTTTTGAGGTAAATGGTCAAAAGTTTGCCTCACGGAATTAATTCCTCTCAATAGGGAGATTTCGGAGATGAGTATTTATCTTTATCCTTAAAATAACCTCTGAAGCTTTATAGGGTTGAGGAAAACTCCGGAACTTAGTACCAGAATCCATGAAATGGGTTCATTTTGGGATTCGAATCCTCGACCATGATTGGCCAGATCTGTTGACTTGTAATTGGCCAGATCTGTTGACTTGTGATTGGCCAGATCTGTTGACTTGGTGCAACGCTTTTCTGTTGTTGGCACTTCGAATGGAGCGTGGAGGTGGAAGCGTGGAGGATGACCCACATGAAGTGGAGGTCAATCAGAGGCGCGGTGGGAGCGAACAAGTTAATGATAACCTCCATCGTTATGCATAGTGACGTAGAATCATCACATGTATACACTTGTAGGAACTACGAAAAGCAACTTAGGCGGCGCCCGACGCCGCAGCTTAGTCAGCCGCGCCTAGCAGTACATCCGACCGGAGTTGTACCAGCGGCTATCAACGATATCTTAAAAGCACCAGATAAGTACTAGTATAGAAGCACTCATCTGCAGCTGGCGCTTTGTCGAGGCGTGCTACTTTAGGTGCAAGCCACTCCTTGCCTTCGTAGCTACGCATTTCCGAACGTCGTACAGTTACTAGTAGTAGAACAACTAAACTAACACAATATGAGTCTCAATGAATTCAATGCTTCGTATGCCTCTGTCATCCCTACTAGTCAACGGCGAATGACCCATGGGACGACTTCACAGTGACCTCGCCGATCATCCACGAAGTCCACGAATTTGGCTCCATCTAGTCTACGGATAGGGAAAACTTGTTATCACCAAAATCGTCGATATAAAATCCCTCGCTTTTACTTTGCTTTCATTTTTTACGGAAAAAGAAAAGGAGAAGTCATCTCCGAAATCTCCCTATATATATTGTAAATGAGAGGTGTCTTCGGAACATCACAGCCATCAAACAGTGCACCCAACGTGCCGCGTTGCCGCAAGCGTCAAACTAGTACCGGTAGGCAGCCACACGGAAGCACAAAGTGAAAAACTCAGAGCTAGGAGCGTAAGCAAACAGGCAAATGAAAGCCCATTTGAGAGGAAGCATGATTCTAATATTCAGCAGGTGCATGAGAGGACAATGGAGAGCATGGACCGCAATAGAGCACTACATTAATGACACTATATTGCAACAGTGCTGTTTATGTGCTGTATCGATACTACTACATGTGTGTGTGTCTTACTACTACATGTACGGCTTGTGTGATGATCGAGGGGTTAAGGTACTATCGGTTGTGTGATGGTGGGGAGCGTGAATATGGCGCACAAGGTAGACTGAAGTTATCGTTGGAACTGCGTGATGCCGTCACCGCGGTCACGAAAGTAAGATGTCATGTTGTTCTCGTGAACACGGTGACGGCTCAAAACAACCGCTGAGGACAGAAGACCAGGGATCATAGTCCAGGAGGCATCAGGACCTACTATAGGAATGAATCAATGATGAAGTTGCTTGTACTATACCGCTGTTGACTGGTCGCGTGCAGAGCGGCCATGGCCCTCGGCCCTCGGCACTTGCACCTCGCCACTTGCACGTCGCTGGTGGCACCAATGAAATAGCCAGTATGGTCTCCTAAATTCTATAAAGACTCACCTCTATACATAACACTACCTCTAATATCAGATAATTATGTCACGAAAAGCCTAAATTATCGCTATCTAGAAATTTGTATGACGCTCTTAACATCCACAACTTGAACTTCAGCATACAGTGGATAACCTCTTTAAATTTGTATAAATTTATACACGTGGGGGCTTCTCTTAAAGGTAGTTAGTATCCATCTGGCGATTTACCATGCACCCCTCGATCGTGTTTTCCCATACGTTTATTTCGGCGTTGGCAACTGCCGGTAAACTGTCGACGGGGGATTCAAAGGACGACAAAAATGGCTGAGGGGTTGGCACCAACCCATCGTCCGCCCTCTCGCAGCCATTCCCGTAACGTTACTGCCAATCGTCCCAGTGTATCATCCGGTGGTTGTGGTGGGTCGTCCACTAGCTCATTCATTGAGGTTTAAAGGATATCAATTTAAATAGTATGGTGCAAGTTATCTAAAGACTACAAAAAAATGCTTTGTCTTTCGACAGCTATTCCAACTTTGTATTGATATTTTTAGGAAAATATGACTAATAACGATAGAACTGGACAAGCCCAACAAAAGTGCTAAAGAAGGGGCCAAGGTTGGTCCCGCCACGCCACAATCGAATGAAAACTAAAGGGGCATACTGGAGGCTGTAGTTTTACATTACCACCGCTATCTATTAGGGAGGTTTCGCAAGTCAATGTACCATCTCTCTACCCATGCAATTTTGAGGCTTGCAATTTCGAGGCTTGTTTGAACTCAAGGCTACAAAATGATCATGTTGATTTTGCAGTATATTGCTACGGTAGCTACTGTACCGGGAACCTAGGTCACAGACCTGGATCTATTCGCTATAACCGTTACGTGCCTTGGATAGAGAGCTCTGTGCAATCCCATGCATTACCTTGTCTTACATAGTACGAGGCATTGTCTTCCTTCTTTGCAGGAACACAATTACTTGGAATCGCATGACAGGCTGTCAAATGTGTAACTGCCGCCATCGTCGGTTTCACTCTGCCGCGCGCACATGACCCGCGATGTCAAGTCCAAGCCTGGTTTGAGACATCTTCATATTCATGTCATTCATGCGTAGCTGTGTCACTGGTGCGACAGAAACTATTCCGTGACACCGCTGGTATGACCCTCCATGAACAAAGCCAACTGGCGTCGACACTAGAGACAACTGGGAACAACGTTCTCGAGGTACATACATTACACGGCCTCGCCAAGCAATTGTGTGTTCACGGTTGTGTAGGCAATACAAAAGATGAAAAAGGCAACGAAGGCACAACAGAAACGCACCAAACACACATCCGTCAAGGTACTGACTTGTCAAGCGCAGCAGAATCTCCATATCGGCTTTTGTGATAGTTTGAATGGCTGCACGACTTGGCTCATCTTCGAAAGCTTGAGGACGTACGTGGCTTTTCAGTTTCACCATAGCTTTGCATTGTGGGCCTACATAACCATGGAGGGGATTGTGTGCCTGCGATAGACAGCCACCAAAGAGCTCGATGCACTTTTAATCAAGTACCTCAACGACGCTACAACCACATGTTCGTCAGGTGATTCGTATATCATTATCCCCCGAGTAGAGAGTAAGAGTTCATCCTCGAATTGCTGCTGGCAGGCCAGTCCCGTGCACCAGCCCCGCACCACAACAACGACCCAACCACCCCCCACTCTGGTGCCGGCCTCGCCCCTGAATTATATTCCGACCTGATGGACTCTAGGGCATACGTTTGTAGATGGCTTGGATGATTACGGTAGTGCGCTGCAGTCGTTTGTGGACCACATGCAGCACCATCGGCTCGACTGGATCAAGCAAATGCATGCCCACAGAGACACGGTACGTACGTCCGTAACGACTGTACAGTACATTGTCGTGACGTTGGCATGATATGATGATGGTTGAATTAGAGACACTCCATGCATCAACTGGTCGCTCGAGTGCATGCGGACAAGGCCGTTCAGGGCCCCACATGGATGGCGCGCGTCAAAGTACAGTCCATAATCCTTCCGTGCATGCATTTTAAGATGCTGAGCAGTACATCTCTCTGATCCTGGACCTGAGTTTGACCCGAGTCGTCCGTATCTCGCTCACCTGATTCTGAGTCGAGTCGATTTGTATCTATTCTGATTCTGACCTGATGCCAAGTCGGACATGCAAGACCTTGTATTCACGCCTAGTCAATCAACTCCTAGCCGGACCTGCAAAACGTGATGATCGAAGCTATCGTGGGCCATCACGTGGTGTGGGAGCAATTGGCAACCGAAGCTAGCGCCACCATCCAAACATTAACAGCAACAACAGTCGCCCTCCAACCATGTCTTCGCTCAATGGGGCACACCAATACTGGCAACCAAGAGATGACCGGTACTGTCTGTACACATCAAAATGCTAAGAAACTTGTTCATCGCATACGATGTCCACGGTATATAGAGACCGACGACCATAAGTCCATTTTGGACAGGCTGGGGGGAGTGGAGTGCCCTGACGTGGCGTTGAAAGCGTCGTTACAGGTCCAACTCGACGCGATCCACCAACGTCACAGCCACGTACGTTTGGTCCAACATGTTCCATATCGCATTGTTTGCATCGTTTGTTGTGTAGGAGTTGCAGCAACTGCACCAGACGTTTCTCGCCCAATGTGGTGAGCCAAATCCGACCGTCGCAGTGTCCAAGACTGGCGGGTGGTCTGACCACGACCACGACCATTACATCAAACTGTTCAAGGACTGTGACCCCAAAGGCATCCGGAATGACCCGTTTTTGTCACGTGTTGCGGTTCAATTGACCAATCAGAACGTCGATGCGATTCGACACCACGATACGTGGTACCGCTGCGTACGGCGCGTGGCTACACTAAAGCAGGATCGGTGAGCCAAGATATCGATTTCTACAATAGTACTAGTAGATGGAAAATATTAATATCGTATGCATGATGATGCTGTAGGTTGAATGAACATGCACGACGGATACAATCGTTCCTAGACGAAGCCAGCGCGGCGATGGCCGCGGCGACCGCGGCGGCCGTGTCCGCCACAACAAAGGACGAGGAATGGGCCCAGCGGATGGCAGACCAAGCGTTGATGCATGCGAAAGTCGAGCGGTTCAAAGGTATATATATATGTAATTGCGCGAAAGTACAGACGACACTGTTTATATACTTCGAAGTAAATTATTATTTATTATTTTTCTGAAAATTATACCGACAATGACTGGATCATATTTGTAAAGGGAAACGCGATGCCAAGGCAGACATGGCCGCGCATCAAGCCGAGATTGCGCGGTTGGAAGCCGACGCGATTCAAGTGGCAGCCGATCGAAAACGACTCAAAGAGCACGAGCTCAAAAAGAAACTGTTGCAGGATCACAGGTATAATCATATTTCAATCTCAGAGACCATTACTATTAGAAGTAATAGTATAGTATCGAATTTTTATTCAAAACTATATTATTTCAAAATTGCGTATAAACCTCGCGTATTATTAGGAGCTGGCAACAAGTCGACATGTTGGCCCAAGACGAAGCGACTGCATTGAAACGAGCTATTGAGGCGGAGGAACTCAAGGAGCGGGATGCTGTCAATGCTGAGCGTGTGGCTTTTCGAGTGGAAGAATACGAGGTAAAGCACTGAAAGATGCATGCACTAACTGTAATTGCTGATATTGGTGGCATATATTGGTGCTTATCACGAAATTGCAGCAAAAATGCGACGATGCCAAGCGCAGGGCTATCCAAAGAGCCGACGACGAGGCCGAGCGACTGCGGGTGTTGGAAGCCATCAAGCAGGAGACCCCATATGCGGAAAAGCTAAATCAGATCGAGGTATGCCACAAAACAATTAGCTTCGAACGAGACACTAACGAGAAGACAAACAGATGGACCCCGAGCGGACACGACAGCCCACGGTCGCGTTTACAGCCAACGTCGACGCTATCCAAGACGGCTTGGGAGTTCACGTATGGCTACTTGCATCAGGTGTCAGTAGCGTCATGAACGCTTGTAGGAGACGGGGTTGTTTCCGTCGCATGGGTATGACACGGATAAGTTATTCAAAGACGCCCGGTTCAAGCTTGGCCTGGCGCTGCGGGTACGTGAGGAAACATGCATGTTCGTTCTGACAGCGGCAGGAGCTGATGGCTGCGCCTTGTCACTATGCAGGATGCTGGGCTTGGATCCACCGATTACGCGAGAAAGGCCATGTCAACTATCACGGTTCGGAACACAGGAGCGTATCGGCATACCCCGCAGGCGTCCACGCAGTTGTGGTGACACGAGCATTCTTTGGCATGCGTTGCGATAGCAAACGATTGTTAATGCGCAAACCCCGGGCATAGCATTACACGTACGTTATCCGGGGTGGAAAGGGTACGGTTCTGGTGAAAGTATGCTGAGGCTGGTGACAATGATGACGTCAACAATTATTGTTTGGGATGCACAGGGATGCAGTGGCATAAATTCGATGATTGAGTATATCCCCACGGATAATATCATACTACTATTTTAATAGTAGTATGATATTATTAACTACTATTAAAGTAGTAGTTAATACTTCGAAGTACTTCGAAGTAAGTATCATTAATAATGGCCCATTGTACTCAGCATTGGTATTTTAGTAACCATATGATTTTATTTGCTCGGAAATTCACCAATGACTAACACATGTTATTGTGCCTATTAAGTGCGCCCGGAAAGTGTCTCTCTGGACTACAGTATTTTGCTCGAAATCGATCCATTATAAGGCGTGCTCGGAAATGCTCTATCGTTTGCTCGAAAAAAATGCGCACCCAGGAGCGGCTGGGGTGGTGCTGGCTGTTGCCAACGCCGACACAAACGCAAGGGTAAACAGGATAGACGAGTGCATGGTAAATCAAAAGGTGAAGTGCTTACATCCAGGCCTGCTGTAACCGTGTCCATCATCCGGTTCCCAACCGGATGACTAGTCGACACCTCTTCAGTCCAAGGTGTCTTTCGCATACCAACATGTCCTCATGAGCAACCAAGGTGTTCTCCCGGCGATACATCAATGGTTAGTTGCGCGTAGCTTAGTGATAGCGTAGTAGTCTTAACGCTACCATCTCATGCGTCTTCCTCTGCGCACGCTCACACTTGCTAGCACTCCACGTTCGCCCACTCGACCAACACTATGTCCTCCACCAACACCGCAGAATCCCGGAAATATCCGACAGGGGTTACAGCAAATTTTGTATGGGGATGTCGCCAGAGTAATAATATTCATTCTTGTGCAGTACTACGTAGTACTGAAGTACTTTTTTATTGTTAGATATGATTGGTAGAAATTACGAGCGTAACGTTACATGAGGAAATATACGGTATCGTAGATTTTGGATCATATCATAAGGATGTCGTCGGAGTACGGAACATTTGAAGTATCATGGGCCCACCATTATATGTACTTTCGGGGGTAGGTATTTGCATCAATCAGTTGATGTAGTCATTTCTTTGCGACGCTATAGGGACGATCGTTCTCCCTGGTGATGACACCACCTCGAAATCCACTTTTTGCCCCCCCTTTTCATGTATCCTGTAGCTAAATGCACTAAGTACACAGTCTGCAATGCAGGTGCCCCGGGTTCAAATCCCACCGAGGGATATATTTTGTCAAGTGATATACAACATGACAAAAATATTCAACATTGTTATTTTTAATCACCTACTACAGAATTCTATTGGATTCACGACGGGGGTTTATCCAAAGAACACTCCTACCGAGCACATAATTAAGATCACAACACAGTATCTATTATTTACACAACTACAATGTGGGGACGCGGAATTGCTTTTGAAATAATTTCTGGATTGCGTCGCTAGAAATCATTTCCCAGGCCTTGATTGAACGCAAAATCATAACACGTCGCTTGTCTACAGCTGAAGTGACAGGCGCTTCATCGAGCCAGAGTGTCCGCAACAACTTCTTGAACGGGCCCATAACCCCTACATCCAAGGGCTGACACACACTTGTGCAGTTGGCAGGGAGTGGCTCGAGCACGCTGTGCAGATCGCCAGCGATGACATTGGCGGATTCTTGCGTAACGTGGGCGTCGAAGTTGTCGACGAATATGACCGTGGGGCCTTCAATGTACGGCTGCAAATTCTCGAGGTACGCTTTACACACGCGGCTGTCCATCCACGCCGATTCTTGGACACTGTAGTAATGCTCTTCTGGATAGGTGTCCAGCTCCACTTCGTCGATTGCACCACCGGGGACGCCATGGACGATAAACAAAATGGGTAGTTTAGACCCTACACACAACATCGTCAATAGCCATTCATGCAACACGACGCCCCGATCGACCCTTCTTCATCACGGCCACGTCAGCTCGGCCAGACAGGGCCCTTTATTTCTGTTTTCAGAGCATCTGCCTTGAGATGCCATACTTCTGAAGGATCTCTGCGGCCTGGCCCTTGGCCAAGCGCCCATTTTAATTGTTCTCCAGAAGATTGTGGTATAAACTCCACCGTCGTGGTTCGTCGTGGCATGTGGCATCGTGTTTCGTTGATAACGTGTCACACAGTATGCTAGCAATATCTACGCAATGAGACGAGTCGTTTGCGTTTGATTTGAGTTTGAGTGGATGAGAAATGACTCAGTTACGTAAGTTGAAAGATTGGCTGTCCTTTACCGAGAACTTTGTTCCTTGGTTGTGAAGCGGCAAGGAGCAATAAAGAAAATCTGAAAATAGCCCCGTTCTTGTCTTTTCATTGGCTATCTTTGGTCCTAATTTCGTTCGATTTTGGAGGTTTTTGCCACAGAAATTGATTTGAGAGTTATATTTCTCCAGTTTTACGGAATGGAGGAAGTTTGGTATCACACTAGTTCAAGTCACACACTAATTTGACGATGATGGTGGTTCTCCCAGACTCGGACTTCGAGCACGCCAAATTCCGGTGGGGGGAATTTGACTCAAAATATCGATGTCAATTCGTACAGTTAGTTGACTTGTTGATGGAATTCGCAAGGTGAGCCACCTTGCTCCTTTTTAATATCCAATCAGAGTCCATCACACCTTGCTTCTTACACACGATTGGCTATAATACTGGCAGAAGAGGTTACAATTTTGAACTATTTGGACGCTTGAATTTTGTAGAGCTTTGTGTGATGCTGCTCCAGAGAATTGTGCACTGATGAGTTCAGTCTGACTATATCCAATGTGGTTCTCCCCTTACAGCTAACATTATGTTGTGGCCTCGGTTGGGTTGCAATGCCGTGACTGCTCTGGTGGGCCAACGCGGTGGCGCAAGACGTCTTGGTACAGTAGGAACCCATCGCAAGTGCTGAAGTGGCGGCTTCAGCACTTGCGGTGAGTGCCACCAAGACGTCTAGCGCCACCCGCCCGCGCAACCACGTAACCACTCCAGTAGGGAGGTGTACGGCACCGACACGGACTGATGGTGGAATGAGGGATGACCACATCCATTGGTTTAGCAGGCAAGTGGTGATGTTACTGAAGTCTAGACCTGTTCGAATTGACCGAGTCCGGGATACCACATCGCATGATCTTGCTCTCATACACAGCCTGCATAATTATCTCAATGCTCTTTGCATCAACCGCCATCACAGGAGTATATCGCAACAGGGTGTGATGAATCCACGCAGCGATTTTCATGACTTCACGGCATCTGATTGGACAAATAGGACAATTTTGAATTCGCAAGGTGACCTGCCTTGCGAATTCCAAAAAGAGACAGACACATGAAAAATAAGAATGATGAATACAAACTTGAAGATATATTTAATTGAAACTGTAAAATTTCAGAATAATTTATGGAATACGCAAGGTGGTTCACCTTGCGCCGCATACTAAATTGCCTATTTCACCTTGCTTTTTCTGGTTAATGCACCTCCAAATTATCACACCAGGCTACAATCATACTTGGTTTTCACAACAACTGGTGTGAGTACATCGCAAGAAGACTTCGCCGATGGCACTTCGATGATGCATGGCAGAATGCGCTGGGGACATGCAAGGGTACGTCAAGATGGTACTCATGACTGCGCTGTACGGTTTCCAGTTCCTTGTGATGCACCGCGTTCCATGCAGTGCAGCAGGTGGCCATGGTGGTGGTGGTGTGTTCTTGCCGAAGGAACAGGACCGACAGGCAATAACCGACGAACTCGAGCAGCATACTCACGGCCCAGATGCCACGCATGGTTTGTTCGATGATGATTCTCGACTACGATACGTATAGACCTAGGATGTCTGCGCCATTCACAAGCTCAATCTCGTCAACATGCGAATGGCGCGGATATGCTCTGCTGTATATGGGAAGGGACTTTTGGAAGCTTCATCGGTTGAGTCGACCTGTACTTCTGCTACAGTTTTTCTATCGTTATGCGCTTGGTTACAACCGCCACGCAACATTCGTAGCATGCTGTGATGACCGCTCCGGTGACGCCTTGTTGTCTTGCGCCGGTGTTCGCAACCGACGACTACCGTGTTCACAACGGTGACCTCGATGACAAATCCAAAAGTAACTTCATTATCCAGTCAGTCAGTCAGTTCCCTCCTATCACTTCACTACTCTACAAAGTCATGCATCGTACAGTGTACCATCAGCTCGGAACATATGCCGCTCCGATCCAGGTCATATTTCACACTCTTCAAATGTCGTTCGTGACCAACATTCGACTACCCACACTCAGGCACGGGGAGTCGAACAGAGGCTCG